GTTGCCTTTCATTTTGTCTACTAGGATTCATGGTGAAAATCATGTTTGATTGAGAAGCGCTAGTTTCAGTTTACATGGGATTTTGCAAACCTAAACTGGTGGATTTTATTTTCAGAGATTTTTACCTTTGCAATCATTCAGGATTCACTTCCAGTTTTGAATTCACATGAGTCTGAAATTCCAAGTCAACCTATATCTTCCTCTCTGCAATTCCCTCCACATGCCCACTCTCCTCTCTCAACAAGAACCCCCCTTTAACCTTTAAAGTCTTCTGGTTTGAGAACTGGTGGCCTGCAAATGTCCTCTCCCCCTTTCTAAGACTGCAGCCTGCAGGGAGACAGGCCAACCACGTTTCTTATGGCCTTCAGAGGGTGCCCAGTGGCTTCTAAATCCCATTGTTACTTTCTGGAGCCCCCTACATAGCAATTAATTCCCCACAATCCTGCAACTGCAAGCTGCAAATGGTTCTGCACCCACAGCAATCTGCTCCTGAGATACCCCTTGTTCCCTGGTAGTGGTAGCTAGGGAAACTTGGGGATTGTATTACTAACATTTCTCACAACCATGTTGGATAGTCTTGTTTTTGGCTAGAATAGGCAATACTGTATCAGTGCCTGGGATGGAAGGCTCATACAGTAAAGATGATTCTTGACAATTTTTTGACTTGCAGAGCAGGAGCTTGAAAATTCCCCCTGCGTTCCCACCTATCAGTCAAATATAGAGCTGGAATTTTAGAACATGGATGACATCTCAAATTTTAAAAATTTGAATTTAAAATTTTAGAAAAAAAAAATCACTCAATTTCCCCCCCCCCTTATCTCTCATGACCTCCAGAGTCCAGGACTGAGATATGTGGGGGCTGAAATATGCTGTCCTTAGTATCACCTATTGGCACATCATTCCACTTTGTTTAGCTCAGTATGGCCGGAGCGAACCTTTATTAAGATAGGAGAAGGGGGATTCTCTGTGGGACTTTCTGGCCAATTTAATAATTCTAGCTAACACATAAGCCTTATCTGATTAATAAGCCATCTTTATATAGTGCTGCTTTGCTTTGCCTACACAGAGCTTTTTCATCGAGGTGGCTAAGCAGCCTTGCTCTGGTCCCTTTTTGACTATATATTTGTTTTTGTAGTGTTTTCACCAACATTACAATTTTTAGAAATATATGTAAAAACATCAGGGGCCTGCACCACCATTTCGTGGGCCTTAAAGTTAGGATTCCCGTTCTGTGCTATTATCAGAAATATCTGGTTTTGCTGTGAAATTCTGATAAAGTAAAAAAAGAGCATTTTGCCCACCTTCAGACAGAATTAGAGTTTTATTATTTTTAATCTGAAACTGGCAAAATTTCACACCCCCTCTTTTGGGGATTATTTTTTAACCAGATATAATTTATTCTTATTATAGAAAGCGAATAGAAAGGTATAGTATGTGCTTCTTATATCTTAGCTTTAGATTTTAAGCTTTTTGGAGCAAGGAACTTGATCTCCTCTATTTATGCAAAGTATCTAGCACACTCTTGGTGTTAAATAAATATAAATAATATAAATAGTAATATTTAGTTAAGCAATGAGAATACTGTATCAATGTCGTACATAGACACTGCCACATTTTCAAAGACAGAAACACAACAAATTAATAGAATTCAAGGTCATAAGGGATCACTATGATCACCAAGTCTGCCCTCGGGTACAACACAGGGCATAGAATTTCACCCAATAATTGCTGCATTAAGCCCATATCTTGTAGATGAGCTAGACCAGTGGTTCCCAAACTTGTCCCACTGCTTGTTCAGGGAAAGCCCCTTGCGGGTTGGGCCAATTTGTTTACCTGCCACGTCTGCAGGTTCGGCCGATCGCGGCTCCCAGTGGCTGCAGTTCGCTGCTCCAGGCCAATGGGAGCTGCTGGAAGTGGTGCGGGCCAAGGGACGTACTGGCCGCTGCTTCCAGCAGCTCCCATTGGCCTGGAGCAGTGAACTGTGGCCACTGGGAGCTGCGATCGGCCGAACCTGTGGACGTGGTAGGTAAACAAACTGGTCTGGCCCACCAGGGGCTTTCTGTGCACAAGCGGCGGAACAAGTTTGGGAACCACTGACCTAGAGCAATCTGGCCTTTCCTTATGCTCCCATCCTCCCCTGCTAAAACCTTATTCATATCCTAATGAACTTGACTGCTGAAATCCACACCTACTTGGCATCCCTGCTTCTCAGATTTTTGCCACTCGAGTATTCAAATTATTGCTGCTAAAGTCATCTTCCTCTCCTATTGCTCTAGCCATATGATCCCTCTCTTTGGAGCCCTCTTTTTGGTTTCCTGCTCCTTCTTGCATCAAATTCAGATTCCCTATCCTCATCTCGAAGGCCCTATCTGCATCTGTTCTCATTTCCCACTACTTCCCCTGTGCCCTTTCCAATAATAGTTTGTTTCCTTTCCCCAAGTTTCACCTCATGCCTTTTTTCATACTATAGACTATGTCTGGAACCATCTCATTGTCCTCGTTTTCCAAGCACCGTCTCTCTCCTGCTTCAAATTCTTCCTTCAACCCCACCTCTTCAAGCAGTCCTGTTTTTGTTCTTTTCCGCACGAACAATCCCAACACATCATCCCCTCTCCTGCCTTGTGTGTGCTTGTCCTGGCTTATCTAGGTTGTAAACTCTTTAGGGCAGGAAATATGTCTCTTTCTCAGGGCCAGACTCTGATATGTTTATTCACTGAGTAGTCCCTGACACTGTGAATAGTCTCATTTACAGAAGAGGTTACTGGTCAATGTGAATAAGGTCTGGGGTGTGTGTGTGTAAAGTGCTGTGCAAATTTACAACACTGCATACATATTAATATTAATATTTGTTATTATATATTAGATGTATTACTATACATCACGTAGTTAATATTTTCACCACTACATTGTGCACACTAACTTTTGCACACACAAGTCTCAGGATTCCCAAACTGCCAGATGTAGAAATCAGGCTATGAGTTGCCTCTCATTGAATTACTTTCCATTCCAGTCCTTCTGTCGGAGATTAGACAGCCCACAAGTGGTCAAGTCCGTGCAGGATTGTTGCTCTCCTCCCCGTACCACATGCAGTACTCCCAACAATCACTCGTGGTGCTTGCACTCGCCTTGGTAAATTAGGACATAGAATCATAGGACTGGAAGGGACCTCAAAAGGTCATCTAGGCACTCAAGGCAGAACTAAGTATTATCTAGACCATCCCTGACAGGTATTTTTCTAACCTGCTCTTAAAAATCCCCAGTGATGGAGATTCCACAACCTCCCTGGGCAATTTATTCCAGTGCTTAACCATCCTGATAGTTAGGAAGTTTTTCCCAATGTCCAGCCTAAACCGCCCTTGCTGCAATTTAAGCCCATTGCTTCTTGTCCTATCCTCAGAGGTTAAGAAGAACAATTTTTTCTCCCTCCTCCTTGTAAAAATCTTTTATGTACTTGAAAACTGTTATCATGTTCCCCCCTCAGTCTTTTCTTCTCCAGACTAAACAAACCCATTTTTTTCAATCTTCCCTCGTAGGTCATGTTTTATAGACCTTTAATCATTTTTGTTGCTCTTCTCTGGACTTTTTCCAATTTGTCCACATCTTTCCTGCAATGTGGCGCCCAGAACTGGACACAATACTCTAGCTGAGGCCTAATCAGCGTGGAGCAGAGCGGAAGAATTACTTCTTGTGTCTTGCTTACAACACTCCTGCTAATACATCCCAGAATGATGTTTGCTTTTTTTGCAACAGTGTTACACTGTTGACTCATATTTAGCTTGTGATCCACTATGACCCCCAGATCCCTTTCTGCAGTACTCCTTCCTAGGCAGTCATTTCCCATTTTGTGTGTGTGCAACTGATTATTCCTTCCTAAGTGGAGTACTTTGAATTTGTACTTATTGAATTTCATCCTGTTTACTTCAGACTATTTCTCCAGTTTGTCCAGATCATTTTGAGTTTTAATCCTATCCTCTAAAGCACTTGCAATCCCTCTCAGCTTGGTATCATCTGTAAATATTGACATCTCATTACCCCATTGGCAGGCACAAATCCTTTTTGCGTACTCAGATTCTAGCATTTTTAATGCAAATTACTGTCATGAAAGAACATAACAGAGGCTGTTCTGGAGGATTTGGCCAATCAACAAAGAATTTAGATATTCAGTAAAACCTCTGAGGAACAAATTAGGGAGCCTTGCATATTAAGAGATCTCTTTGCGGTATCTCCAAACACAAGGCATGATTTGTTTCTCTGCCTTGGATGCCAGCTCTGCTATACAGCTGATGTTTGTTGGTGGTTATATATGATAGATTTTACTATGTAATAATATACCTTTAAATATACATTTATTTGATCATTATTGGGCTAAATACTGAAGTTCATATTCAGCATTTATTCAGTACTTATTCAAGCCAAACTCCCACTCATCTCAAAGGGAGTTTTGCCCAAACAAGAACTGCAGGATTTGGCCCATCATTATTATACATATATCAAAGGTGCCTTTTCCCATGTGGGCGTCAATACATCTATGCTCTAATATTTTTCCCACTGGTAGAGCCTTCCACCCAAGAATATGAAAGCATGTTACAAACATGAATGAATTAATCCCCACAATACCCCAGTAACCTACGTTAGTTTGATTCTTTCCATTTTACAGATCGAGATGCTGAGTCAAAGAGCACTGAAGTGACTTGCTCAAGGATAATCAGCAAGTTAGTGTTAGGGACTGGGAAGAGAATTAAGATCTGCTGGCTTCCAGTGATGTGCTTTAAGGACTAGACCATGCTTTCTTTCCTGTACACGGTACACAGACATTCTATCTTGGTATTACTGTTGTGTTAACGGATAGAGTAAATTCGTAACATTTCTCTTTCCAGTGCCTGGCAGTTTCTATGGAACTCAGTGGCATGAGATACACCCTCAATACTGGACCAAGTACCAGGTGTGGGAGTGGCTACAGCATTTCCTGGATACCAACCAGCTGGATGCCAACTGCATACCTTTCCAGGACTTTGACATCGATGGCGAACACCTATGCAGCATGACTTTGCACGAATTCACCCAGGCAGCTGGGAGAGCCGGCCAACTTCTTTACAGCAACCTTCAGCACCTAAAATGGAATGGTAAATATACACTAGTGCATGGACAGGACTGCAACCACAATTTTGTGAATTCTGGGTTGATCTAAGGCCACTTATGTTCCTCAGCCTTGCAGTGACTGAAGCTCTGCTCGTGAGGGGTTTAAGAGTTTCCCAAGAGTGCAACTTCATTGCTGCTGAGCTCCTAAGAGACACAGGATTGAAACTCCTGGTTATCCCCCACTTTACTAAGGTCTTACCTGATCTACAAGACATTAGTCAATTTAGCAGTACTGGGGAAAGACCATGAAAAAAGATGGGATGTTTTATCAATAAAGACAAAATTTTTCTTTATTAACAAGTAGCCCACATTCTTATATTACAGAAAGGAGCTCTGTAACCCACTGATGCTCAGGAGATTCATAGGTGTGCAGAAATGTAGAACTCCCCTCCGTGCTTTTGAGGCCTCATGTAGCAAGAAGGCAACTCATTCTGTTAAATGACTGAAATAGATGTATGCAGGGTAGTTGTAGCTGTGTCGGTCCCAAGACATTAGAGAGGGTGAAGTAATATCTTTCATTGGACCAACTTCCATTGGTGAGAGAGAAATACATCAACTTAAAGCGGCACCAGCCCCTTCCAGAACAACAGATGCAAAACCTGTAGACATATCTCCACTCTACAATGATCAACACCCCCCACAATACACCTTTCAAGATCCATGGATCCTACACAGTCCATATCACAACATGCGGCGTACCTCATCCAGTGCACTAAATGCCCCAATAACAACTATGTGGGTGAAACCAGACAATCACTACCCTCTCGAATGAAATGACACAGGAAAATGATAAAAGACAAAAACACCCTATTACCTGTGGGTGAACAAGTCACAAAACACTCACTCTATATCTGACCTATGAGTCCTCATCCACAAAGGAAACCTGCACAACACTTTCAAAAGATGAGCTTGGGAGCTTAACTTCATAATTCTGCTAGACACTAAAAATCATGAACTGAACAGAGACACTGGATTTATGGTTTATTACAACAATCTGTAATCCACTAACCCCTCTTTTTGTCCTATGACTTCTGGGGTGTTAATGGGCCACTCTACCTTGACTGGTCTCTTAGAATACGTGCTAACTACTTATGCCAAACAATCTGTTCCACCTTGCATTTAGCTGTGATGCTCAGAGTACCTTTCCCAGAGCTGAAGAAGAGCTCTGTGTGCCTCGAAAGCTTGTCTCTCTCACCCTCTCTCACTTGCTCAACAGAAGTTGGTCCCATAAAAGATATTACCTCACCCGTCTTGTCTCTGAAATAGACGTAGTAAGGTAACAATGATAGACTCTTCCTTCCTTTCTTCTATCCATCCACCTGACACTTCCCATTTCCAGTCATAGCATAGTAATTTAGCAGATTCACACTAAGAAGTTAAATGAGGAGTTCACAGGGTGTGGAAGAGGATGTGTGTGTGTGTATGTGTGTGTGTATGTCCTCATGTCTTTTAAAAATTAGCCCTTTGGTATTGATCCCTGCTTGAAGCCCTATCTTTCCTTTGTGTGCCGTGTGCATAATTACACCTCCCCTCTCCCATGCAATCTCTTGCAGGTCAGTGTGGCAGTGAAATGTACCCATCACATAATGTCGTTGTTAAAACAGAACAAACAGGTGAGTAATAGCAATTGTTATGGTGTACCAGGTAACTTGACTTTACTTGGGTGTCAATGATCAAGGAAAATAGCTGCTAAGATAAAGTTCATAGTGGATGTTTTAGCAACAGCTTCACTTAAATACCAAAACAAGTCTGTTTTCCAGAGAAGAGGTCATTAAATAATGGTAATGAAATTAAAACTGAGCTTTTAAAAATGTCAGTAAATTCTCTTTACTGAATCTCTGAGGTCTCACATGGTACCAGAAGCACTAGATTGCATAGGGTTACTCAGTTAGGAGACCTCTAAAATGTCACATGTCCAGTGTCTTCATCGCCTTCCTCCAAAGACAGTTTGCACAATTTGTAGTGGCTCATAACTTCCTCCCTGGGGCTTGGTTTCATTGTTAAAAAGAATGACAATGGAACAACACAAAATCAAGCTCAAGTCTTCTCCTCAACTTTGGCCATTTTCAGGGTTCCTTTCCAAGAATGGCTCAGCTCACATTCCAGATCTTCTCTCTACATAGCCACTCTCAAGTCCCTTATATGTGGGTGTGTTAATGAGCCACTGGCATACCTACTTACTATTTCCCAGAAGAATCAACACCAGCTTATAGCGTGGAGTGTTTCAGACAAACACTGACAGCCTATTTCATTCATAGGTCTATTGCCTTTTCCCTGTGGCATAGAATACAGCTAGGCACAGATCAAGGCAGGAATTTAGGGTCTTTGGTATATGTTCCCCTTGGTCAGAGCTGGGTCAGACAGAACAATGAGACACAGGGGTAGAGTAGCAGGTAACCGTCCTGTGTATAGCTACAGGTTGGCTTTCTGCTGGAGGGGAGTTGACTGTATTTGAGTTGGAGAAAGGAAAGGTCTTCTGGATGAGAAAGAAAATATCTCTGAGGAGGAATCCCCAATATCGTTGTGGATCTTGGCCTGATTAAGTCTTAATCCACCCCTCAGTAGAGATACACAAGGTCTTCACAAAGTATTCATCTACAGACTGTGCAAATTTTAAAGCCTTGTGTATTCCCTTTTTTTTTATGGTGGCCACTTCTCCACTATTAAAAACTATTGCTGGATTGCGGCTGGTGCAGTGGGGCTGTGGTGATTCTCTGCTCATTGCCACATGAAAAGCCCAGGTTCAATTATCCAGGCGCAGTCAGTATGTCCATGATCTGGCAGGGGCTGGGCGTGCTACTTTCTTGAGGATGGGAGAACTTGATATGGCTACAAGCCAGCTCCTTGTGATGAGACAGAAATGAAGTTGGTGGGTTCAGAGGGGAATCCTATCTGGTCCTACTAAGTCAAGGAAGGTTGCCTCAGTGTGGATGCTGGCATAGCTGTAAGCGTGAGGCCAAATAATCCCCACAAGCTTTAGCTGGGTAAGGTTTATTTTCAGAGACAACAGTCGGTGGATCAGATGTCCAAACAAGAAAAGGGTGTGTGCTACTGTAAGAACATGGGCTCAGGATGCCCCAACATGTAGCTATAAGTTTGAATGCCTGCTAAATTCCCATGTCATAAATGTTAACGCAGCCAAACAAGATGATTTAGCTAGTGACTCATTTTCAGTTTCCAATTGCATTAACTTGAAAAAATAAATAAATCCCAAATTTGAGTCTTATGCTTCATTGCCTTTGATTTGGAAAGAGAAAGAAAGACAAACTTAACTTCTCTGGCCTGAAAAGTTGTAATGCAAAAAGCATTATGATTTCACCAGCTGCTGACAAGAAAATCAAATGTGTGCACGTTATGAGTCTGCTATTATAACATTCCATTGAATTTTCCTTGTATTGTATGGAGCACTATGAGTCTAAGGGTGGCTTTAAAAATCTTCCATATTCATGGGTTATGCATTTTGTGCCCAATAAAATGTCCTTTAGGTTAAGGATATATGTAAGTTTAGCAACAGGCCCTCAGTATGATCCTCAATAGAGATTCTGCATTGGTATCTAATAATATAAAATGGGACCCACATAGAAGATTGAACTTTCAGTTATATCATGTTTTTTTCTATGAACTGATATGTCACCTAACCAAAGGGAGCCCTGGCCTCAGTGAGGGCTTCGGGGAACCACCATAATACAAACAAAGAATAAACCTTAATTTCTTCAATTCTACTAGAATGCTGAATTGTTGAGGATGCAATCATTTCTGTAGCAACAAAGTATAACGTCACACACTTCACTGCTGGGTCAGGAAGAGAAGCTGATCTTCCATTGGAACACACATAGTTGAAATATTACCTGAGAGAATAGAAAAATTCAGGCCAAGACAAAGTATTTTTAAAAAATAAATATTCTGTATTAACAAATTTGCCCTAGTGTACAAATGGCATGGGTGAATGTAACAGTCTATGGTGTAGCAACTTGCATGTTTTTTTCCCCGTGGTCTTTTATTTGTCACCTTTCTCTTATTCTTACTGGTTCAGTGTCTCATTGTTACTCACCTCACTGCTGGATAGTATTCTTTTACTGATACAGACTTTCCTTTTGGTCCCTATCTTCAGATCCGTCTTTAATGGCCTCCTGGAAAGAAGAGAATTATTTGTATGACAGTGGTTATGGTAGCACAGTAGGTAACTAACATCACAATGCTTCAGGCATTTATAAAGTGTTTTATTGTGGTAAGAGGATGTTAACGTTAAACTTTTTCTTTTTAATCTCCAGAGTTATTGGACAGTAAAACTTTCTGTCGTGAACAGATTTCCACAACTACTACCAGTCACCAGCCTCTTGGTAAGAATCTCTTAATTCTATTGCTGATCATTTGTGTCACACACCCTAGAATTACTGCTATATGAAAGGCTTCTGTTGCAGGTCTGAGTGTAGGTATCCAGTAGTTTTAAACCAAGCAATATTGATGTTGATATTAGTTACTTTAGCGATCCTAACTAAATAGTTATTTGAAAGGTGCACGGCTCTCCTCTCTTTGTCAAGAAAAAAGAACTTCAGATAATCAGTAACCTCAGGGTGACTCCCCATATCTTTTCAAGTGACTGACTCAAGGTGGAAGAGACAGTGTTAGAAAGATAAGATGTCCCTATCCTGTCATAACCTGTTGTGTAGTGTGGCTGTGCACAACCTCAGAAGTGCATTTCAGTGGTGGGCAAAGTGATTCATATATATATTCAGGTATCAATGGCCAGATATGGTGTTACATCAGCACAGAGCGGCCATAGGGCAGGCGTAAGTATGTCTGGGAACTGCCCCAGAGCAGCGGGTCTTCCCGGACATACTTCCCAGGCAGCTTTCCCACAGCTTCAGTGGATCACCTACTCCAGCCCTATGGTGTCTCTGCACATCATGTCCACAGCATGCCATTTTACCCCTTTGATGGCCTCTTTGCACCTCCTGAGCAGTATAAAGAGGATGTAACAAGAATATAATCTGCCTTTTTGTAGGCAAGTGTGATAGTGGGTGAGTGACAGGTGCGTGGGGAGTAGAGAGTGGTAAAAGCATAAATGGGTGGTGGTGGGTGGACACATGAAAATGTGGCAAGCATGATTTAGAGGATGGTGTCTTAGTGGCAGCTGTGGGCAGGAAGTGAGGAAAGAGGAGAGAGAGAACTGATGAGAAGAGAAGAAAGGAAGAGTGATTGGAGAATTGGTAGAAGAAGGGAAGAAGAGAGAGAAGGAAGGAGAAAGATGAGAAGAAAAAGTCGATATAGACAAGAAGCAAGGACTCTTGAGGGAACATGGGGAAGAAGGAGAGAAAACATAAGGAAAGAAAAGGGGGAAAAGAGAAAGTAATCCAAAGAGAAACAAATACTGAAAAAGAATCAAAGGTAGAAAAATATCAGGGTGAGAGAGAGAAAGAGAGAAAAGAAAGGTGAAAGAACCGGATATGGGGAAGAGATGGAAAGAAGACATGCAATGGGACTACACTCCTTCCACTGCCACCGCAGCTCCCCACTGAGACTCATGCTGGGTGCTATCCAGTTCATTTGCCCACTGGGCCCTCGTCCTTAAATTCACCTGACACAATTAAAGGGCAGATTACAGTAACAGTATCTGCATAAAGAACAGGAGGACTTGTGGCACCTTAGAGACTAACTAATTTATTAGAGCATAAGCGTGGCCCTCACCTAGAAGCACAGCAAGGCTCGACAAGGTGATGTGCGGTTTAAACAAATGTATTCAGCAATAAATGTTAAAAAACCCCACCAAATCCAATTGCTCTTTCTCTTGCCAATGCCCATTCTCATAAAATGCCTGCCAACTCTTCAGAGCTTTCTGACAGTGCTGGGAATCAGCAAGATTCTTGGCTTGGTGTGTTTATACGCTGACTTGTTGAGCCTAGAGTTAGGGTGTCTCGCCAAGGGCACAGCCTGTTGTAAAAACTAAATTTGTATATCCCGTAAAGAAGTAGCTCATTCTGAATCATATGCAAATAATGTGAAATCTTTTGTCACAAGTTTTGCAAGGTTGAAACTGCATCATAATTCTTTTCATCTGTCAAGCCCCAGCCTTCTAATGGTGTGTGCTCAGAACAGGGCGCTGTGGAAGAGTAAAGGCAGAATGGGAGGCTGTTTACACAGGTGTAATAAGGAATAAATCACTAAGTAGAAGGCAACTGACTTTCATTGAATAAATTACCAGCTAAGTCGAACACACCAAAGCCATTTTAAGGTAATTTAGGGGATTCTAAAATCAGGTGTTTTTTTTAATAATCGTATTTTTAGGCAAAACTACCCACAAATTAAGGACCTGACCCTGCAGTCCTTAAACAAGACAAAAGTCCCACTGACTTTTGATATACAGTTGACAAGCTCAGTGACTTCGATCAGTGGCTGGTGCTCTCTGAAAGTGGGCAGGCAAGTAAACAGTGGACTCTCTGAAAGTGGGCAGGATATATAAAATGAGCCCAGAGCTGATTTGCAGCTGTAGGTCAAGACCATGCTATATCAGATTTAAAACAGGGTAGGCAGGGACTGTCCTCTCTTCCCTGAGTAGAGCTGAGCAAAAGCTTGGGTGAAAAAAATGTTTCACACATACAAAAATGCAAAATTGGGTTAACCGAAACCATTCACAAATTTAGACCCATTTTGGCAAATTGTTTTGGTCAGAATGTTTTTTTCCAAAAATGTCAGAAAGGGTTCATTTCAGCATTTATGAAATGAAACATTTTGCCTTTGTTTTGGGAAATTTTAAAAATAATTTAAAATGTATTAAAAACATTCAACATTGAAATTAATTTTTTTGAACATTTTGGTTCACTAAAAATTTCACAACACTTTCACCCAGGCTGACCTAAAATGATTTTTTTTTCAATATTTCAGGCCTGCACCCAGACCTAATATTCAGTTTTTTGGAGAACCTTACTTTTGAGTTCATATTTCCAATTGATGTAGAGTACAGTATGTCTGTAAATATTTTTGCACCCATTTTTTTACATGCAATTATTGCAGATGCATGTGCAAATCAGGCAAGATTTTATGCAAATAGATATTTACATTAAGTCATTTGCACATGTAAATTCCTGCTTTCTATGCAAAATTATGGTAATTGTGAATACTTAGCCACTGGAAAAACATGCATGGGTCTTAAGCATTTATGGAATTCAGGCACTAAATATCCTGCAGAGCAAGCGCAAGAGGGACTTATAATTAAAATTGTCTCATAGACCTTGTGAAAGTTCTCAGCCTGATTATAAGAAACCTTTTGTGTTAATGTCAGTAATAGATTCAGATTTTGTTAATTTCCAAGAAGATGACTACTAAACACAGAAATATCATCTTCTAGCTAGGTGATAAGAAATGAATAAATACGACTTCTTTATTCTTAGTTTCTGAGGAATGGCTTAGCTAGAAATCTGATGCCTTTTAAGAGTGTTTACAGGCAAAAATGTTGCACTGATGAGAAGCAGCATATTCTTGTGGCTTATAGCTGTAAAAATAAAATATATGTGCCCAGGTGTCAAAAATTCCTAACAACACTGGCTTGAGTTCTGGGACTACTCGGCTTGTATTTATTTTCTTAAGAACAATGCCTTGTCAGATAATTCTGCATTTAGGCAGGTAGGTGTACATTACATTTGTACCAGTACATACAATTCACATTAGATCATCTATAGAACAACAAACAATCAAACAAACAAAAAAGCCCCCAAAGTTACATGCTACAGCAAAGTCTGGGCCATAATGGGAGAATTCTGGATTGCTTTTATAGATATGATCCTCTTATTTTTCACTCTGACATACATGGTGCAAGGGACATGGGGTGAGGTATTTGTTAATCTAATTAACATTTCCAGAGTCAACTGTATACCTCTGTATTTGTCCTTTATTCATCAATGATCTCTTTGTGATGTGTAGCCTGGCTGATTAAAATATAACTCAGAAAGCAAAAATATCCCTCTGGATTACTCATTTACTTTTTGAAAGCTGATTATCTTTAAAACAGGCACTTATTCATTTTTGAGGTTATGTTTTAATCTGCTAGTCAACAGAAAACCTTTAGCCAAGTTTATTAGAATGGTTTCATTTTCATCCTCTGCAGAGTCTTCAGATGAGAAAAAAACACAAGATCATCCCCCAAAGTCCCACACCAAGAAGCACAGTAAGTCAACTGCTTATGGCAACACTGGTGGCTTGATTAACGGCCCAGAGACAGTATAAGCTTAGGTTCAAGTTTTGGGAAGGAAGGAAGCAATAAAAAAAAAAAAAAAGAGCCCAGTTTCAAAGCATATGGGTCAAATGGAGCTACACTGATTTACACCAGCTGAGGACCTGACCAACTGTTTCTCTCTTTGCTCCTATTGTTTGAGTTGGCTTTGTCCAGGGTAGAGTAGAGGTTCCAAATAATGCTCTAATCAATAAGGACCTTTCAGAAACACAGAATTAGATGAATGTTTACTGTGTCCTCCTTTAAAACATGATTGCTGTGTTGAAAAGAAGTTAGGAGATGCCTTGGCCACCAGAACGAACTCCTCTCTGAGAAATTCAATCCTTGCAATGCCCTGGGCTTGTCCCTCCACTAAGGAAGGATTCATTATCCACATCCACTATGGAGATTTAAGGGAAGGTTACACCATGGGTGTGCAAATATTTCCATCCAAATATTTCGGCAAATGAGTCATGAAAATCTCCTCCTTAGTCTTTAGTAGGGGAGAACGCCACAGCTTTCTGGGCAAATCACTCCAAGTGCTCTTCCTTCCTGAATGGGTATAAGTGCCAAAAGTCATGGTGTAGAAGGATTAAGCAACAGAGCAGTGGTCTGAGGTATGTGGCTTCAACAGGGTACACGCTTGATAGGATTAATGCAAAGAGCTGAGCTTTGAAATATGAAATAAAGACTGGCTTAGGCGCCATTTCTCTGTGTTGCATGCAAGTTTCTGAGGGTGAGTCGGTGCAGTATTTTGCTGCAACCTTACTGAGATATGCAAATCTGTGAGGAGCTATTCTGAAGATAACCTCAATTTGAGAAATGTCAAGATTACTGCTTTATGCAGTGTAGTTGTAGCTGTGTTGGTCCCCGAATATGAGAGACACAAGGTGGGTGAGGTACAATCTTTTTTTGGACCAAATTCTATTGGTGACAGAGACAAGCTTTTTACCTTGAATGGTCCCTTAGACTATGTGCTAAGTACTTATGCTAAACAATCTGTCCCACCTTGCATTTAGCTGAGACGCTTAGAGTACCTTTCCCAGACCTGAAGAAGAGCTCTGAGTGGCTCGAAAGCTTGCCTCTCTCACTATCAGAAGTTGGTCAAATAAAAGGTATTACCTCACCCACCTTGCCTCTTAGATTACTGCTTTACACATCTCAGACAACATACATGGAAGTCTGGAGGCATAGTCAGATTATGGTTTCTTTGCAGACAAGTCATTTTCTGTGAGCAACCTACCATACAAAAATAAAACAAAAACAAAAAAATACCCCAGAGAAAGTCTTTCTGTTTCTTCCATCTTCTTTCAGATCCTCGAGGAACTCACCTCTGGGAATTTATCAGAGATATTCTCCTGAATTCAGAGAAGAACCCAGGATTAATAAAGTGGGAAGACCGATCTGAAGGTGTCTTCAGGTTCTTAAAATCTGAGGCGGTGGCTCAGCTCTGGGGAAAGAAGAAAAACAATAGCAGCATGACTTATGAGAAACTCAGCCGGGCCATGAGGTAGCATGAGTTGAGAAAACATGAATCCTCGAATAATTAAAGAGATATTGCATCCATTTGGAATTTTGTTTATTTTAAAAAATTAGTTAAAAGCAGTTTCATTGGCTACACCTGCCATCTGAGTTCCCTTATTGATTTTGAGTAGGTTATAAATACATTTTCTTATTTTTTAAAGTGTTTTTGTCTCCCTTGTTGCTGTGTGAACAAGCCACACAAACAGGTGAAACTAACTGATATAGAAGGTAAAACACAAAAGGTAAAACTCACCCCTCTGCAAAGGAACCAGCTCAAGGACTTGTCACTGCTAAACCCAAAGGGTTTAATTTGGGCCTAAGCAATGCCTAAGCACTACTGCCAACCTGAACATAAGTCAAGCCCACCAAAATAATAAGACTGGCTTAAGAATCATGGGATCCTTTTGATTTTCACATTTTCAAACTTTTCTTCAGACCCAGTAGGGCTAGAAACTTCTTTTTTGTTTTAAATGAAAGCTGAGATTCTTACCTGATCACGGGATTCCAGAAGCTGGCATTTTTACAGAAATGTCAAATATCATGAAACTTGCAATACAATTGCAAGAGTTGGCAACACTGAATAAGCTATGAGCTGGTGTTCTGAAAAGTGGCAGAGTCTACCAAGGTGCACTCAAATGTATAAACTAAAACGAAGTAAAATAAAAAAGAGATAAGATGTTTTCTCTAATCTCTTTCAGTCACAATAACCTTAGATATTATTTGTAATAATAGTAGGTAAAACATGTTCAGTTACAAGTGTGATTTCTTAGTTGACAGTGTCCCTTAAAGACTATTCTCAGCTCCAGTGTCTAGTATCAAATCTATTTCTGTGTTTTTCTTTTGACAGATACTATTACAAAAGAGAAATACTGGAGCGTGTGGATGGCCGGAGATTAGTCTATAAATTTGGAAAAAATGCCGGTGGCTGGAGAGAAAATGAGAATTGAAGATGTCAACAAAAACAGCAGCAAAATCTTCTGGATGTAAATATTTCAAAGACTATTCCCTTCTATTTATGTACCAAAATGAGGGGAAAAAAAACTACTTCTAACAGGAAGAAGGAACACTATCATTGGTGTCAAAATTATTTTAGTCGAAGTATGTCCTGTATGGGGAAAAAATGTACACAGTTTTCTGTGATATATGGTAACTATGATTGTGATTAATTTTCCCATTTTATGAAGTTTTTTTTTATATAGTGTAGGAGTAATGTGATTTATGACAATGCTGTGAGTCATGCAAATAAAGGGGGGAATCATGGGGCATTACGTATTTTTATGAGTAAAATAATTTAAAATAAGGCAGCCTGTGAAAAATAATGATTTCCAATGTTGCTTATCTTTGTAAGAGGACTCCCGGGTGATTGTTCAGTTCAGATCATATTATTTCAACTGTGGATACCTGTGGAGTATGAAGTAACATACGACTGCATGCATGAGGCTGAAAAGCATCTGCCTCATGTAGCTATCCCACAACAGCTGCACATGCTGGAGCATGTTAGTACACTTAAAAAGTGAACTTTGAGTGGATAACATAGTAAGCATCTCCGAGCCATGTGGTGGTTTTAATAGATTCCTAGGCCAGAAGGGACCATTGTGATCACTTAGTCTGACCTCCTGTATAACACAGGCCATAAAACTTCCCCAAAATAATTCTTAGAGCAGATCTTTTAGAGAAATACCCAATCTTGATTTAAAAATTGTCAGTGATGGAAAATCCACCACAACCCTTGGTAAATTATTCTAGTGGTTAATTACACTCACTATTAAAAATGTACACCTTATTTCCAGTCTGAATTTGTCTAGCTTCAATTTCCAGCCACTGGATTCTGTTATACTTTCCCTTTCAAGAGAGCCCATTATTAAATGTTTGTTCCTTGTGGAGATACTTATAGAAGCAAATGTTCCATATTCACCTGGGTTGTAATTTTGTTGTCCAATAACAAGTGTTCCATCTCTCCTATCAATTTCTGAGTATCTTAACATTCGGCTGGCCTCCCTTTGCTTCAGTTACTTCAGATGCTGGGTTTATCTTCAGTTAGTTTATGACAGTAACAGTAGTGAACTGCAGGGAAAGCATTGTGTGACTATGTGCATTTCTTTGGAGAACTTATAATAGCTCTTATATTGGTTAGGACTGGATCCTGCAAGGTGCTAAAGTACTTCCTGCCTGGTGCTGAATGCCCTCTATCTTCATTAATGCCAGCAAGCACGCAGCATGTCCCATGATAAGGGCCCTAGATTTTTTTCCTACTTTGAGGTGGACTGCTAGGCTGACATAGCCTCAAGGATCAAAAGCCATAAAAAAAAGACACATCTAACAGGCAAACTTATTTAAAGGAAACAACTGTTCAAATTGCAGATGCATCAAAGGTTACCGTATCCAAGTAGAAATAGAGAAAAATGTTTTCCAGTGGTGGTTTAAAACATTTGAGAGCATATGGGAGAAACTGGAGAGGGATTAGACAAGCATTGAGGGTGGGCTGGTGGGAACAGTGCAAGGCAGAAAAGCTAACTTGGTGGTGAATGAGTGCAGGGAGGGAGTCGTAATTTCTTCAAATGAAGGCCCGCTGTTCCCTCTGGCAGGCAAAAGTTCACCTGAGAAGGAGCTTCCAGAACACTGCCAAGGAATGCAAAGCACCATTGCACTTACTCTATGATTTCACCCAGTATTTCACAAACACTGTTAGCAAGGGAGCGTCTACTTTTTTGTAATATCTGTCACTTCTTCCTGTGATTCTCAGTTGGATGAAAAACTCTCTCTACACATTGTAATAATTAGAAACGAGCTCATACCAATCATATTCAGATTGGGGAAGTTCAGGTCTGGGTTTGTAGTTTTGACCCTTCTCTCGTGGCAATCATGCCATACAGGGAGTTAGCATGCACTTCTAGCTCTCATTTGCTCTTGGTTAAAATCTCTTCCTTAACACATCAAACATTTCAGAATGCAGGGAAGTAAAAAAAGTGGAGGCAGCCCTGTATCATGGCATTGGAAACAGAAGGGATGCTGAGGATCAGGATTTTGTAAAAGGGTGAGGTTAGGATCCAATCTGAGATGATGATGGAGGAAGTAAGAAACTGAGATAGATTCTAATTAACTTTTTTTTAGGGGTGTATATTGCAAAAAAAAAAAAAAAAAAAGGTCAACGATGAGAGTCATACAAAGCGTGCAGAGGCTGTAGAAAATAAAACATAACAAAACAAAAAACAGTGAGACAAGAATGCTACCACAGCTATGTTAATGTAGAAGCAAGAGCTATCGGGAAAATAGCAGGAAAATTATTAAGGTTACATCTGCCTGGGCAATATCTGTCTCCCTGGGCATCCATTGGGTCCAAATCCAAACATGCTTGAAACCCAACAGGGTTGAGCCTGAGGTACTAGTTCTGCAGGTTTCTAGTTTGAAGGGAAGAAGGCTGTAAAAGAATATAGAGTTGAAACCCAGAGTTAAGGGAGGATCAATAGAAAAGGCACTAAAATGTGCTTACCAACACCCTACAGAAAACACAAGAGCCCAGTTTGTTACCTGTATGCACAGGATACATCAAACCATTACACCACCTCCTGCACAGTGCATGCCAGAGCTGTCAATATCAATTATCTGTACATGGCAATTTTTACTTTTCATTAGTTGGGTGGAGAGAAGTTCGTCTTATTTACAAAATTGGGTCATAAAACTTCAAAGCAATTTTTTTCTAAACATATTTTTTTTTCTAACTGGGCATTTCTCCTAGCATTGTTTGCTTTTGCTCAGTTCATTCATTTCCTCTTTGTTTTTTAGCTTGATTGGTTGCATTCTGTCCTTTTTATCATCATATGTGGTCTGAATAGCTATAGATACTAGGCTATCAAATCAGAATGATACCTTCAGTGTATAAAATGCATGTGCCAGAAACCTTCAATGTTACTTTCTGACATCTCCTTCATGCTTTTTGTCCTCCATGTCTCCAATGCAATCTTTAGACAAGAGACACTTTGGGTGAAAACCTGACCACACTGAAGTCAATGGTATAATTACTATTGACTTTGATGGGGGGGTCAGGATTTCATTCATTTTGGAGGCATAAAGAAGTGGTAGGTAAGGTGTTGGTAGCAATATAATTATTGTTCTCTGCCTCAGGTTAACATAGATCTCATGGCAACTGAATGTAATAATATCCTGGAGTAATGCTGCTTTGCACCAGACCTCAAGGGAAACAACAATGAGATTGCAATATACATTTGTCACCCCTTCCATGGCACTGAATTTATTATTTAGCAGCAGCTAAACCTATCTGGGGAGTCTTTAGGGTTCTATATAGCAAAACACATGAACTATTAAAATAAAATAAATATTTTAAAAAGCTGACCTTTGCTTGGAGGTGTATTGTATAAAATTTAGGGAGCGATTTCTCCTGAGCTGCAATCTAGTCCTCCATTGGAATTTTTACCAATAGGTGAGAATCATGCAAGCAAAATTTTCCACTGTTCAACTTGTCATTTGAGAGTGGAAACTTGTCATTTGACTTTGTAACTGCACAGATTTAGAAAGGAAGCCATCTGACATTTGCTGTTTTACAAATGTCAGCCTTTGCCTAACACAGATAAAGTGGATTTCTTAAGACTGATTCCTGCCATGTACAAATGCAACCACGCAAAGGTGAACCATTTTAACCAGTCCTACCCAAAGCGAGATAATGAAGATATGAATGTTTATATAAATTGCTATTTAAAGAAAAAGCATTTCTGAGATTGCTCTTTTTACTTTGTATTGCAAAGAGCTGAGCAGTCACTTTTTAAAAAGATGTATATTTTAGGTTAGCAGCAGCAGCAGAACTGCTAACACCATATGTATAGATTTTTATTGTATCATAATTTTTCATATGTACAAAACTCTATAGGAAAAAGTAATTATACTATATTTATATAGCTGCATGCGAATCAG